ATTTCAAGTTGCCATCGTCATTTTTCCTTCTTTAGATATTTCAATTCCTCTTTTTTTTTAAAAAAAAAAGATATTAATTAAATACGAATGATCTAAAATCGAAATAAAATCTAATTCAAACGAAATAAATCATTATGAATATCTTTCGTATCATATCTAAATCTCTCTCATTCGATCCCAATAAGCTATCAATCATTATTAAATATACCCCCAATTCCTAATAACCATTTTTAGAATTTACGATCTCAGAGAAAAAAAATAATCCATATCAAATCGCATATACCAATTTCACGAAATTCGAAAATCTAAATATATAATCGAATTAATAAATCATCCCAATTCTAATGAGATTTCTATAGATTCATATAGATATATTAATTTATTATCAAGCTTCTTCAAAAAATCAAAGAAAATATTTCAAAAAATGAGCGAAATCCTTAAATGTCATGTTTTTTTTCGCGTCTTCATCCATCAAAAAAATATTTTGAATATAAGCAAGCATCTTCCCTCTTCTCCTTAGTCGTTCCTTGAAGCTGGGCGATTCCAAATATGAAAAAGAAATCCTGGAGGAAATATCTAAGGCTACGATATTTCATTATCTCTGATCTTTAATCAATCTATAATATTTGAGATTTTCCTGAAGGCACGCGAATCAAATTTATGAGAGAAATGGGATCTATTCTTGATCCTTGATTGAAAACCATCTCTGAAATCCTCTCTGACGCGCTGAAAATCTGCAACCATTGGCCCACGCAAATGGCAGCAACAATGCTGGGTGCTGAATTTCAGATAATCTCTGTCTATCTCGATTTCCTGTGCAAATGCTGCTCTGCGCCCTGGCATTGCACTACCAAATGCCGTAGGCCAAAATGGGACCTACTTTGAGGAGAAGTATGGCAAATACTGCTTGTCGTCGTCCCTGCCATGGGGATATACAGAACAAAAATACTAATAGCATTGGCAAAAGAATGGTGACTCCAGCAGCAGTCGGGCTCGGGGGCGGTGTAGCCACTGTAGCCATTGGAACGCGAACAAGGGCGATCCTTCTTAAACTGGCCGCTGGCATCCTTTGCGACGTCAATTGGAACCTGCACCCTGGAAGGCCCCTGTGTAACTGGACGCGCTCGATGGGCTGGATACCAGGTAAACCTTCATCCGTGTTGCAGGCTGGCATGCCCAGCTATTTGGTTCCTACACGCGCTCCTAATAATTACTTGAGAACTAACTGACTCATCACCTTCCTTAATTGTTTGCTTGCACTTGCTCTGTCCCTTATCCCCTCTGCGCTCGTGTGGGTGGGTTGTAGGAAGTTCACTTCACAACAGAGAGGCCTTGAATCGCTGCCAAGACCAACCCCCGGGCAAGTCCTGTGCTTTCTTGGTGCCGCTAACCACAATGTCCTTCACTGATCTTGCATCACCAAAATAAGTAGCAGACTCTCGGCTGTCCCGTAATCAGATTCGCTAAGACATGTCTAGTTCCAAATCCCAGAGCCCATGCCAAGTTCAACCCAGTGTCGCTGGGCGTCATGGAGATGAAGCGGTTCCTCCAAGGGTTGTGCAAGGCAATCTGGTCGTTCCCGCCCGGCACCACCGCGAACCTTTCGCTGGCCCAGCTGTCCGGCAGCTCGTGCGCAGACTTTGTGCTGCTTGCCTTGACCGATCTTGGACCCATCATGAACTGGGCAAATGAGAACAAATTACGAATGTGCTTCCAATCCTCGCCGAATTTAAGAATTTATCCTGGTCTGATGATACGTACCAGAAAGGCATGATTGTTTCCAAGTTTGCCCTTAGGTGCCCTCATCTTGCCATCGCTTCTCATTGACACGAAGCGATTGTACTTGGCACTGTGGAGAGCAATGAGCCCGCCCCCTGCGTCTACCACTGTGAAATACGTGTACGAGCGACGGGAGCTGGGTTTGTAGGCCCCATGGATGTTGCTGCGAGACATGTCGGCATGCTCATTCATGCGCATGAAGCGGTGGAACTTGTGGCAGCGGAAAGCCACCACAGATCCTGGCTCCAGGTAGAAATAAGGATGGCCTTGGACAGGGTGGAGGAGCACAAAAAAACCAAACAAGGATCAAACAAGAACAAAAGCTGGCTGCCGTAGTATAACGGAAACAATTCCGCAAAAAAAATGGTTGAAAAGTCATGAAAACTTGTGGGAATTTGGAAGATCAAAAAACAAAGAGGGATCAAACAAGACGGAAGATCAGAACAAAGAAATAAGGATCAAACAAAATAAAAGTTGTTGAAATTTCACGAAAACTACTGAAAATGACGAAAAAATCATGAAGCACCAGGAAAAAATGAAGCAATCACGAAAAACTCGTAAAAAAAGAGAACCATGGAAGATGATGGAATATGATGGAAAATGAAAAAGTTGAAAAAAGAATGATGAACCATGACGAAAAATCATGAAAACATGAAACATCATGAACATTTGTGAAACAACTAAGAACGATTGCCAACTATGAAAATAGTGAAAATGCTGAAAACTCGTGAGATGATGAAAAAAACCGGCAAAAACCATGAAAACACTGAAAATGATGAAACATGAGGCACAACCATGAAAAACATCGAAATGTGAGACGCGATGAAAAATATTGGAACAAGATGGAAAACCAGAGGAATGTTGAACTATGATGCAGGATTTCGAAAATAATGGCAAATATTAAGAAGTACTGCGAAAGATGAGAACTGATCAAATTCATGATGAACGAAACATGATGAACAATAGTGGGAACATGAGAACGATGATGAAGCAAGAAAAAGGCGGAAAACGTCGAGAGATCATGACAAACTCAGGAATAACATAACGATCATAACAATGATGGGAATAACGAAAATGATGCATAATGATGCAACATCATGAAAATGAAGAAAAGTAACGATGTTGCCGCGAAAAGCACTCGACACTACGAAACAATGAAATACTGAAAAATACGGAAAATCAGGAAAACATGAAAAATTGCAAAACATGTGAGCCATGGTTTTTATTCCTATA